CCAAGAATTATAATACAATGAAAGTACAAAACAAGAAAGCCTCTGGGACACAGTGAAAGTAGTCATATGAGGGAAACTGATAACTCTGAATTCCCACATTGAAAATCATGGTGTCTGTTACCAACAATAGAACAGGGCCTAGAATAATAGTTGTCATCAATACTGTCCTGTAATTTTCTTTATTTCTCATATTTTGACAGGCTTTGGTAGTAGAGTAATATGGACTTTATAAAAGGTGTTTAGATGTGTTTCTTTTCCTTTTGATATTTTTGAATAAGTTATGAAATATTGCTTACAGATCTTCTTTGAAAGTTGAATGGAATTCTAGGCCTGGGCTTATTTTATTCAATCTCCTTATTTGTTATGGGTTTGTTTAAGTTGTTTACCTCTCGTTGGTTTTAACTTTGGTAGTTTGGATGAATATAAAATTATTCACTTCTAAATTTTAATAACTTAATAGAGTATGGTTTGTAAAATAATCCCTTATGACCTTCTGAATTTCTTTGGTATCTATTGCCATGTTTCTTAGTCTACTTCTGATTCTGTTAATTTGCATTATCTCTTTTTTGTTTAGTTTCTTGGACCAAGGGTCTTTTGGTCTTGATTTTCTTAAAGGAACAATTCTTCAGATTGTTTGCTTTTTTTTTTTTTGTATTGTATTCTTTGTTTCTATTTCATTAATTAAAGCTTTGCTTTTTCTTTCTTCCTATATACTGGACTTGGACTGTTTTGTTTGTTTTTCTTAATTCTTCTGTTGTGTCAAGGCATTTATATGTATTTGCTGATTTTAAATGTGGGAATTGAGAGCGATCAGTTTCCCTCATATGACTACTTTCACTGTGTCCCAGAGGCTTTCTTGTTTTGTACTTTCATTGTATTATAATTCTTGGCACTTTTAAAATTTCAAGATTTCATGTTTGACCCATTTGTCATTCAGCAATGAATTGTTAAACTTAAGAGTCTCTAATTACTAGGATTCATTTCTCATTGATTTTGAACTTTACTTTAATTATGGTTAGATAGAAACATGGAGTTAAGTTTTTCCAAATTTTAAATATTTGTTTACTTATTTATTAGTTTTAGATAACATTTTTATTAATTCTTTGAGAATTTTATACAATACTTTTTGAACATAATTCATGCCTTTTCTCCAACTTCTGTCAAATCTACCTTGATCTTCTTACTCATCCAATGTTGTGTTATTTTTCATTTCTCTCTTTTTATAAACCATATAGTCCAGTTTGTGTTGTCCAATTACTCTTGGAAATGAGGCCAACTCTTTTTATTTCTTTATTTCCTTCCTTTTTCCCTCCCTCCCTCCCTCTCTCCCTTCCTCTCTCCCTCCCTCTCTCCCTCCCTCCCTCCCTCCCTCCCTTTTTTCCTTCCTTCCTTCCTTCCTTCATTCTGCCTTCCCTCCCTACCCCCTCCTTCTCTCCCTTCTTCCTTCCCCCCTTTCTTTATTGTTTTCAACACATCCTAACCACAGTTTCCCCTTTATCCACTCCTCATCTCAGTGCCTCTCCACATCTACTCCTCCTCTGTTTTTCTTCAGAAAAGAGCAGCCTTCCGGGTATATTCACCAAACGTGGCATAACAAGACACAATGAGACTAGGCACAAACCTATTGTGAATAATAACTATGGGATATGATGGTATCCTTATTTTATACTGACTGTGTTTGGTATTTACCTAAGAGTGCTTTAGGATGCTCTACTCTGTTTGGAGATTTGGGGGAAGCTTCTCCTTCCAACAATTATAAATGTTCTCTTTTTATATTTTAATCAATGCTTTGAAATTTTCATACCTTTTAAATGTATTTTGTTCATATTTTTTCCTAGCTACCTCTGTCCAAATTTGCATGATGATTTTTAGCCCACCTCCCTCTCCTCTTTTGGCCTTTATGATTATTATTATTGTCCATAATTTTCTCCAGTTAGTGCTCAGCATATGCATCCAAGGGCAGGGCAGACTACCATGGACACCTTCTGTTTGCTTCATCTTCAACTTTATTGTTTTTTGTTTTCTTAATGATAGCCATTCAGACACTGTGGTAGAAATTAATGGTAGTTTTTATTTTTTAATTATTCTTATGAATAAGGATATTGAGCATTTTCTCTCATTAGTTTACGTGAGTACTATCTGGTTTGTTTGCACATTGATTAGGCCATTATTTCAGCGTTGATTTTTCTTAGTTCATTATATTTTTAGGATACTAATTTTCCATGAGATGACTTGCTTGTAAACTTATCTCTCATTCTTCAGTATTTTCTGAACATTCCTTTTCTTTGTAGATCTCTGTAGTTTTCTGTACTTCCCTCACAGTTTTCCAGCTGTGTCTTGAACTACTGGAACCCTGTTGTTTAAGTCTATATTTGAAGTGCTTTCCTTTTGCATTCCTCTAGCAGTTTCAGGGTTTCTGTTCCATTTTGAATATATTGTTGTTGGGTGTGAGGGAGAGAAATCTAGTTTCATATTTCTACCTGTGAATGTTTGGCTTCCTAAGCATCATTTGTTGAGACAATCCTTAGAATATTTTTAACTTAGTATGTTTTGCTCCATGGTTTTAATTTTTCTCTCTAAGATTCCATGTAATTATATTAAACATAACACGTATCATTGGCTCTCAATACTAGACAAAGAAATACAGGCAACTGTGAAATCCTCAGAGCTGAAGAAGTATCTCCCTTAGGAAGATCACCACATTTGATTACTAATCCCAAGTAGCCAGCCCTAAAGTCATTTGCATGCAAATAACATCATACAGACTGAGGAACTTGTATTTATATATTTAGGAGAAAGAAAGAGCATGCATGCAATTAAAGAAAGTGAGGCTATGAATTTGAGTGAGAGAAAGGGTTTATATGGGAGCTGTTGGAAGGAGGAGAGGGAAGGGAGCGCATAATGTAATTGTGTCTTAACTTCAAAATTTGAACAAGAACAACATATTGAAAGCTGGGTATATAGACACAGAGATGTATTTCTTGCACTCATAAGGCTGAGGCAGGTGTCAAATTGATACTTGCAAAATGTAGCTTATGCACATGCACACATATACACACATATAAAATTAAATATTAAAAAAGAATATCAGAACTAGACATATATGTGACTGTAATTCTAATGCCTGAGTGAACAGAAGTTGACTTTCCAGGCTTCTTTAGTCACTAGAACTATACTAGGCATGAGAGAAACAACTGGAAGTATTTTTCTATTAGAGAGACTGTCTTCAGAATACTTCCCTCAGCCCTGGGAGCTACCTCAACAGGTAAAGGGCCCATTGTTTACTCATGAGGATTTGAGGCCTGGGCCTTAGCACCTATGTGGAAAAGCCATGTGCAGCTCAATACATCTGCTACTCCAGTCCTCTGGGATTGACAGGAGGGTTTTCTGTGAGTCGAGCCTAAATGGTGAGCTACCGGTTCGCTGACAGAGCCTGTCTCAGATTAGCTGGAGAATGATAAGGAGGACAGCAGCTGTGCTCAGTGGGGTGGCCTCCACATGTCCACGGGGGCACTTGCAGCTGCACAGAATGAATGAATGAGTTGCTGAATTTACCTCTCTAATCTTATTTATTTTTAGATAATGGTTGAAAATTCAGCTCTTAATTATAAAAGAAAGCAAAAAGAAAAGATTTAAAAATAACTCCAGAACTGGTAAATCCTATAGGGACTCGGAGAAATGCAAGCATCAATCTTCACATAAGACTGCCTCTTCCCAGAGTACAACTGGTGTGGTCATTATTGAATTATATTTAGATTGCCATATTGTTGGGATCTTGTGAGGGAAGCATTTTGTCTGGAAGACCTTGTCATAGCAGATTTCCCAGTGCCCTTTCTCTCTTAGTCTTTCCAGCTTCCATTCACGGTGTTTCCTGAGCCTAGAGGATGGGTTATGTTGTAGATGTACCAGCTGGGGCTGAGGACCCTGACCGCTCATCCCCTGCATTTCTACTAGTTGTGGATCTCTGCAGTAGCCTCCATCTATTGCAAAACCCAGCTTCTTGGGTGGGGCTGGGAACTATACTCATTTGAGAATCAGGAAAGGCATTTAACATTCAGTTAAAAGCTAGATTGACTTAGGGAAACAGCAGGGGTTGGTCGTACACCAGGTCTGTGTCTTCTCCAGCCACTGGTAATTGGCTAGGTTTTGCAGTACCAGGCGTCAGTTCCCTCCTATTGAGTACACTGTAAGTTCCACTAGATGTCTGTTGCTTATTCCCAAGATAAAATAGCACGATTGCTCTTTTGGGGACACCTTGGCAGGCCAATATTGTTTTGCTTTGTAGGCTGTTTATTTGTCTAGAACTATTGATTACATTTGTTTGTTGTTGGGTTGCATAGCACTTTCTCATACTATGAGTGCTGATCCTCAGAGGGAAAGCTTCTGGCTCACTACTGGGTCAGTTCCTCCAGGTCTGTGCTGGAAGTGTATGTTAGCTTCAGAAATAGCATCTTTTTCTTTAGTTGTAGGGGTGTAGCTAAGGACAATGGGACTATCTCATATTATTTGGTGGCTCTATAGAACCCTTGACCAACAGCTTGAAGCTTTCCATTGCCTGGCAATGGGGTATTTGTTAAATAATTTATGGTTCCTGCAGGGAGCATTGTAATTTTTGTGGCATAAGTCCATTAAATACACACACATACACATAACGCGCACACACGTTCATAGCATACTTACATTTGAGTATGTAATCTGACATAACTGCAGAGGTTGGGAAAGGCTAGGTGAATAATGGTTGGAGAGGAAGAGAAAGAGCTCAAGGATTAAGGGCGCAAATGCTCTAGAAGTGCCAAGAGAAAATAAGAGGAGTGCCTAACTGGGAGAGGAAGGAGGGGGGTTAAGAGCACTAATGGTATTTTTAAAAAGCCACATGAAAGCATTTTGGTTTTATTATTGTTTCCAATTTCTGTTAGATTGATAAAGTAGTAGTAACAGCTAAATACATATTTTCTAATAGAAAGTTTTTATTTCATCACTTTTATTAATATTTCCCATAGTTTCTGAATCAGAGATTTCCCAAGAAGCTGATGACATGGCTATGGAGAAAGAAAAATACGTCGATGAACTGAGAAAAGCATTGTTGTCAGGATCAGGACCAGCGAACACATACAGGTTCATCTTTTCTAAAGAGTCTTGCCACTTCTCCATTGAGAAAGAACTGAAAGATGTCTCAGTAAGTAAAGTGTTCCGCTCAGTAACGCTTACTGTCTCAGTAGTAAAACATTTGTTTTTATTGGTGAATTTTGTTTCACACTTAACTAGTGTTTGCTTGTTTTTGTTCTTGTTTTTTTGAGACAGGATTTCTCAGTGTAACAGCCCTTAGCTGTCCTGGAATTCAGTCTATAGACCAGCTGGTCTTAACTTACAGAGATCTGCTTCCTCTGCCTCCTAGTGTTGGGATCAAAGGCGTGTGCTCATGCCTTGCTTGAACTGATTTTTACTAGTGATTAAGCTGCATAATCAGGAATTCAGAGAAGTGTTGAGTCCATAGCAAACTGCCTTCGGCTGTCACATTGCAGTTTAAATGGCTGTCCCTTGTTTACTCATTGTTAGTTTATGGATAAGTTTATTCATGCCTTGTTTGCTTGACAGAACTTTTTGGATATTAAATGAGGTAAAACTTTCTGTGCTAAGGTCAGCTAAGATGCAGCTGAAACATTCACAAGCTTTTTCAGTCAAACTTGGGAATCTTCTAGTATGCCATGTGTTTCTGCAAACTGATTTCAGAGTGATACCATCTTATAAATTCATCTGCTGGCAAAAATGTGCTGACAGTTGCACACATGGCAAAATAGTCTGTTTCACTGCACTTGGATGACCCACACATTGTAAAGGAGTTTGTCATGGTTTCCTTAATGACACAGATAACTGGCAGTTGCCAACAAAATGACCTCCTAAACTTAGAAGAATGGGAAAGAATGTACATATTCAATTTAGAAAGCTTGACTAAATTCTGTTGTGTTTCCACATAACCCTGTTTCCATGGCAAAGAGACCTTCGTGAGTCCCAAGTGCACTTGCTTCCAGACTGCCCCACTGGCAGGCACAGTTTGAGGCATTTCTTGCCATCATTCAAAAGCTTCATGTGCCAAATGGTGCTTTCAGGATCATTGTACAACTTGAAATACAGGAATTATGTAAAGCTTCTATGAAATTTATATTTTTACATCCCTTTTTATAAAATGAAAAATGGAAAATACTATCAATATGGGTATTTTTTTTTCTTTTTCTGAGATAGGATTTCTTTGTAGCTTTGGAGCGTGTCCTGGAACTAGCTCTTGTAGACCAGGCTGGCCTTGAACTCACAGAAATGCACCTACCTCTGCCTCCCAAGTGCTGGGGTTAAAAGTATGTGCCACCACTGCCTGGCCCATTGTTTTCGTTTTAAAGGACCTATTTTTAAGCACATTTTTCCTAAGTATTAGAATTTTCAATTTCCAGTGTAGTAAGGGGATGCTTAGATCTATAATTTGTTTGGTGATTTTCAGGTTTTAGGGAAGATTGGGCTCAGAGTGTTTATGAGATTAGTTTTGAATTTATAACTAATTCTTTAAATGTATGTATGTTCGAATTACGTTTTTTCTTTAAAAAGTGTATGCTTTCATTTAACGCTAATACTCACTAGAATAAATATGATATGATCAGCTATTCATTAACACCATTTATCTATAGTTTGAACTTCACCACTAAGTACTCCATAGGTAACAGCAAGCTGAGGTGCACTCTAGTGCCAGCACTGGGAGCTGGCTGTGCAGACTCTTTAGGTAACTATCTGACTCTGCCAGATTATTCCCTCAACTTCCTATACTTCTGCTGATGTGGGGTAGAACTTGGTCATTTTGATATTGTATCATCACAATATAATTCTCTTCTTACTTTTCTTTGAGTAGATTTTTTTTGGTAATAAATCACAACTAAATGAATTTTTAAAAATTCTTCTCTCATACAGTACATCCCGACAGCAGTTTCCTTCCCTCCAACCCTCTTATCCCTCCCTCCTCTCTCCCACAGATCCACTCTTCCTCTGTTTTCCTTCAGGAAAGGGCAGGCCTCCCATAGATATCAACTGAACATGGCATAACAAGTTACAATAAGACCAGGCACAAAGCCTCATGTCAAGGCTGGGTGAGGCAACCCAGTAGGAGGTCAACAGTCCCAAGAATAGGCAAAAGAGTGGGAGACATCCCAATTCCCACTGTTAGGATGCCCACAAGAACACCAAGTTACACAACCATAACATATATGCAGAGAACCTTGCACAGACCCATGCAGGCTCCATGATTGCCGCTTCAGTCTGTGAACTCCTATGAACCCTGCTTAGCTGTCTCAGAACCGTGTTCTTATGGTGTCCTCGACTGCTTTAGTCTTTCTTCCCACTCTTCTCCGGGGTTCCCCATCTTCCAACTTATGTCTGCTTCTGCTCCCATTAATTGCTGGATAATACCTCTCTGATGACAGTTGGGCTAGGTGCCAATCTCTAAGTATAGCAGAATATTTTTAGAAATCATTTCATTGCTTTTTTTTTTCAGTCTTGATTGATTCTCTTCTAGGTCTTTGGGCCATCCAGCCTTCTGTTCCTGGCCATCATGGCTTGGTCATTGACACAAGTTGTGCACCGCCATTATCTTAGCACATATTGCAGGCAGGACAAATTGTAGGTCTATGTTTTGTGGATGAGTTAGTGCATTTCAGACCCAATACTGGAAGCCCTGCCTAGTTACAAAAGATGACCAGTTCAGATTTCATATTCTCCATTACTAGGAGTCCTTTCTTGTTGACCACCTTTGGGGGATCTACTCAGTCTAGGGGTTCTAACCCACCCTGCAGTCAGTTATTCCAGGGTCCCGGAGAGGCACTATCTGGAAGATATGAGCTAAGAGAGAAGAATTGATATAAGATAATATCCCAGAGTCATTTTGATTTGCATTTCCTTGATATCTATGGAATGTGAACATTTCTTTAAGTGTCCTTTGGAGCCATTTGAGATTCTTCTGTTTGAGGATTCTCTGTTAATTTCTGTACCCCATTTTTAAATTGGATTATTTAGAATTTTGATGCCTAATTTCTTGTGTTTTTTATATATTTTGGAGATCAGGCCTCTGTCTGATGTGGGGTGGAGGTTATTTTCTAAACCACTGTTAAAGACTGCTATTTTAGGTACAATGACATCAACTATAGTAAGCAACACATCAGATGTTCATTTCTTCATTTTCATAAAACTGTAATTTTTACTATTGGAGCTTTCTAAAGAGTATTTAATTATACTAAAATATGTAATATAGTGTTTGAATTGATCAGTTTAGTTAGACCAACCAAAATATCTTTCATTAATATAACCAAATATTTGTTTAGTATCTTTTGTGCAAACAGCTAATCCCAAGTGATAAAAACTGTCCTTGGAATGGAAAAATAATGTCATTGTGTTTCATATTACAGTTGTGGCCTTTATTCCCCCTGACATAAAACATTTGGATTCTGTATTGACAGTCTGAACATTTGCATGTAATATATCTGTAAACATAACATTATCATGTTTGGGCCAGTAGTATTGTGTTTTTCTTGTCTCTCCAAGATCTTGGCTTGGAAAGTTATTAAAGGCTTCATACTTCACCAAGCTATCAGTTTATTCCTTTAATGGGTTTGTCATCTATCCTCAGACATTTCATTTTTGTTTGGTCTCCAGGATGCTGTCCTGGGCTTGTACATTGCACCAGGAGCCGTCTGGGACTCCTTTCATTTTCTGGAAGGGCATAAACATAACCTTGTCTTCATGTTAGAAGAACATGTGGCCCTTTCTGTTGATTAGTTTCTAGGTCTTTTCATTTAACATGTGTTCTAGGCCATGTCTCCAAAATGTTTTAGTGCTGCAGAAGAAGTATTATCCTTTATAAGGAAGAAAAAAAAATTAAGCACAGCTAAAATCAGCATAGTATGCAGCAATTTTGGTGGGTGTTTATACCTCCTTTTTATTTTTAAAATTCACTATTTAGACAAGTATTTGATGGTGTTATTCCATAATGTCTTGATCTTGAAGCAGTTTAACCTTCTGAACAGAAACATCAATCATGTTTTGTAAAGCACCAACTATAACATGAACAAATTTGAAACGTTCAAATTCTGAAGGATGCGTAATATCAGTTTGCCAAGTGATGTTAAAATTTCACCCCTGAGGTTTAATTCTTCCAGCAGAGGGCAGTGGGATGAAAGAAGAAAAAGGATAGGGTCAAATGATTTGTTATGAGGTCAAAGAGAATTCTAACAATTTTGCCTTTTGATGAAGAAGTTCATGAGATTTTTGAGATTCCTGAAAAAGGAAGTATTATGGATGGGGAGGAGGCTAGTATGTTGGCTTGAGCATTAACGAATGTTGATGAATTAGAATGACCATGATATGAGTTATAAAAGAAGGTTGAGTTCATTGTCATATAGAAGTCTGAAGAGAGAGAAATAATTATGAGTAACATTAGTAGTGGGGTTGGGTTTAAGTCTTGTAGTTTCTAAAAGAGAAACAATTTTAACACATTAACAGAGTCAGTTAAAATGGTCAATGCTGAGACACGTCTAATAAGCCTTTTTATAGCAATTTCAGACTGTTGAGCTATACAACAAGGGATCAGTATAATATTTTTCATGGAGGATTTGGAATTTATATGTAAGATTTAAGCTCCTTATGCACTTGAAGAGCTATCTGTAAAATTATTAAAAAGAGAATTCTATAGGATTTTCTGATGTAATTTTAGGTAATATCCATGGGTTATCTTCAAAAGAAATATTAAGAGGAGAGCTATAGGATAATGATTATCTATCATTCATATATAATATATTATTGTTACCTGCAAATATCAGTGTGGAAGAAAGAATTAACCTGTGATTTTAAATGTACAGTGGTTTTTGTAAGCTCTGTGCCAGTAACTTAATTAAAATGTGTCCTTATCAAGTCTATAATTTATTTTAGATGAGGAGTTACAGAACATTGCAGAGAATTATGACATGCATAAATTTTTATATTATCATTGTCTTGTTGATATATAATTCCAATAGATGATGAGGAAGAAGGAAGGATAATTAATTGATAAGACAGCATGGGATTAATTTAGGGAGCTACCACTTTATCAGCAGCACTATGTAATAAACAAGTAACTTGCTTCTTTTTGGCTGTTTTGTTTCTTAGAGT